TTTATAAGATGAAAAATGAGTGGCTGACATATAAAACTGTTAAGACAAAAAATGAGTTTCACAACATTGTTACATTATTATCGATATGACAATTGAGAGAAACGATTTAGTTTCATTTAATTTCTGTTTCTTATAATTGTCTTGGGAAATCTTTATTTCGCATCCGCTGTTTAATAATGAGTTACAAAAGCAAGATTTTAATGAAACTGCTAAAATTTTCAAATGGTTCTGATGTAACAGGTATTTTTCGATCTTTAACTTTTCTGTTCTAAGAAAACAGTTATAAATCCGCCGAAATTTGTATTCCATATATTTATGCATGTACAGGAAATTTCCGTTGTAGGCTTAGATAAAAAATTTGAGAAAACATCATTTTTTAATGCTTTTATCATGCCAACAAATTGCAATTTCTGAAAATAATTTTTTGACCCTTGTCTGGTAAACTGATAACATCTAACATCCCCCCAAAAATTTAGACCGGTTTACCCAATTATAATAAAGTTATTAGGTTTTCAAATGTGTACGAATACTTTCTACATCCACTGTAAGTCTCGATAATTATATTCGTTGATGATCTTGTAGCGTCGATGTATACATGCTGTCAATAAAACTCGTATTGCCGAGTTTGTCGACTCGTTGTCGATGATTTCAGAGTAACCCGAATATTATTTAAGTCACCATCGAGTTATGCAGGTATAAAGTCCACAAGGACGACGTTCACGACAGAAAAATCGGAAACAAGTCCGGACTTGTCGACAGCAAAATAGACGCGCGACTGGGTCGCAGTCGTGATAAAAGATAAATATCGGGGATTGGGCTTATCGATGGAGGAGCGTCGCCTTGTCTTTCGGTCCGGCAATCGCGCGGTTCCTTTCAAATTGGACCGGTTCTGCATCCGCAAACAATGCGGCAAGAATCGCGAATCAAGAATCCGACCACGGCGCGCAAGTACAACCTTCTACGCGGCGGAATACGCGCGTTTCAAAAAATGCACATATTCATAGATGGAAATAAAGCCACCGTCGACGAATAGACGGGAATGTTACAGGGAAATCGCGTCGACCAGTCGGATGCGCGAGAAACACGAGCGATCCTCTGTTCCGTGGCGTTTTATTTCGAATTATTCGATTCGATGCAACGCGACGCACGGTGTTTTCAAATTTGTCAAAGACAACGCTGACCACTCGAGTCTTCTATACCCATGTAATCGGGACATCGCTAGCGTTAAATTGTTTCGAAATAAATTTGAATTGGAAGTCATAGCTCGTGGATCATAAGATCGTGTTTGATTTGCTCGTTGAATCCAGGGTTGGGAAAAATTTTATTCGGACGACGCACGAAAGATAAATACTAACGAATAAAATTTTATTCGACACTATCGAATAAATATCCAATCGAATAAAAATTCATGTAGAGCAAAATTGATCAGAATAAAATTTTATTCGAATACGAATACACGCGAATAATATTTTATACGAATAAGAATTTATATTCGTACAGAAATTCATACGGAAAACAATTGAATTAAATCAAAATGATAGAATATGCAATAATGTTTTTTCATAGTTTCATCGATTTATTTCTTCCATGTTACTTTCTCGAATTATTCGAATAAAGAATTAATCGAATAAATAGATAGAATAGTTCATGAGGAATTATTTATTTTACTTATTTCTAATATCCTCAACCATATGTAATCGGTTGCCCACTTGTTCCAAGTTGTTCAATGTAATTTTTCCAGTCTTGTTAAATCTCAGTTGTTTATAACAGAACTACATTCGGTTCGGGTTCTCAAAGTTGCATCATAAAGGCGAGCATCGGCAACCGAGTTCACCAAAAAAAAACTCCATTTCTCCGGAAGCTCCCTGAGCGATTTTACGAATTCCGCTGTATCTGCTGTTAAGTCTTGTACTTTATAATGTTCATATTTCCCGGATCATATGCATTTAATCTATGTGATTTAAAACGGTCGAATGGTCCGTGAATAAATAATAATAACAATAACGATAAAATATGAAAACAGCTGTAGCTGTCTCTCGGAAAACGGTAGGCGACGTCAGAACACCGATCCGCTCGGCGAATTAAACGCGGCACAGCGGGACCGCCGGCTGTCTCGTTGTATAAATGCAAATTAATGACTGTTTCATTTCCCCGGAATTATTTAGCAAAGCACACGCCGTTCAGCGAATTCTGCGACCCCGCTGTTTAATATTTATAATGTTCGGCGAGCCGCCGTGCCCATTGTTGACGCGCAACCGCCTATCAGCGGCTGTTTTTGCAACGCAACCGGCCGCGGCCGGTCGGCAGAAGCAAATTCGTCGAGCACGTACTCTCCGCCGTTGATCTACCACCGACGCCGCAGCTCGAGCTCTCGGAAAATACCTTTATAGCAAAGAGCAAAGACAGTTCGGGGTTCGTTTCGGCTGCGGAACCGGTCGGACCGGGAGTTCGACGAGCTTCCACTTGCTCGGAATACCGTTCCCAATGCTTCCCCCAACGCTTCCCAATTCCGTGTAGAAATGTGTAGTGCTCCGTAATGCGCGACGATGACCAACGGAAGCCACTTTTGAGCGAACGTTTCGTCGGCGGACGGGGAAATGGACGGACAGCTAGAGAGAGAGAGTGTGCAGCTGATGCCCGGTTTTCGAATTTCCGATACTCGATTTATGCTGGCAATTCCTCGCCTCGCCTCTCTCCGCGATCCTCCTCGGATATTTACAATTCTTACGGTTGATTTCTACTAGACGCGCAAGTTCGATCCAAGATGATAATGCATTTCCTCGGAGCGCACCGCAGGCCCTGCTCGATGTCGAAGCGTCTTGGCTGCGCTGTGGTTCCGCTCCTCTCATTTACATGAAGATGTTCCGAGCGTCTTCTAGATGTCTGTGCACGATTAAGGACCGTCCGTTCCTAATCCTCGATGCATCGAGTTCAACGATGACCGGGGATCCGGTGCTGGAGGACGTCCCGAACCATCGATCTAATTAGGGGATCTGGGCGAGATGAAATAGCCTCGCTTTGAAACGCAGCATTATAGCTTAATAGAGATGGGCGGGTACGCGAGATTTCGGGCCAAAATCGGGTCGTGTAATTGCTTCGGGTTCGGGTCGAGATCCGAAACTTTTGGGTACCCGGTATGTTCGGGTACACGAATTTGAAATCGAGCAACGAGAATTTTCGGATACTCGAAATCCGAAAAGCGGATTGGCATGTGTTTATAAATCCAGGTATATGTTACATATTATATAGATCACACTGTATATATGTACAGGGTGTTCCAATAATGTCTCGCAATCCGGAAACGGCGCGTTCCTCAGATCATTTGAAGCAGCTTCTTCCTTTACAAAAATTTTCTCCGAGGCACCGTTAACGAGTTATTAACGAAAAACAGTGACCAATAAGAATCGAGTACGGCTGACGCGAGGCGGCCCAGCCAATCAGCGCACGAAGCCCAGTTCCGCTCATTGGCTCGGTCGCCTCGAGCCAGCCGAGCTCGCCTCTCATTGGTCACTGTTTTTTGTTAATAACTCGTTAATGATGCCTCGGAGAAAATTTTTGTAAAGGATAAAGTTGCTTCAAATAACTTGAGGAACCCGCTACTTTCAGATTGCGAGACATTTTTGGGACATCCTGTATGTATATACAGGGTGAGTCAGAAATTAGTCCTCATGATTTCTCAGCCCCTTCCGATGGTCTGACAGAAAAACGTTCTCTGTTAAAGTTAATTAGTATTTAACCGACAAGAAAGTGCAATTATTTAAATTTAAAAACAAATTGATTTTCGGTAAAAGAACAAGATCGTTGTTACATTCTTGAATGAAACTAGGTAATTTTAACCTCATAGTATTGTAAGCGACGTCGGGACAAATTCAACCACCTACTAATTGATGACCTACAGATGAGATCGAAGAAAAAATTGTCATGAATCGATTGAAACAACATTTGAAATAAAATGAATAAATAAATAGATATTTATATATTAATATATAAATATATAAATAAATGTATTCATAACACCAAGGCCTCGCATGTAAACATAAACAAATGAACGTAAACATTACAAATGTTCATTTATTCAACTTCAGCCTTAACAGAAAACAAAAGAAAAATTTATATAAAGCCAAATATCCTGGCAAATCGATTATAGTAATTTTTCCTTCAATGTCATCTGAAGGTCATCATGCAGCAGGTCGTTAAATTCGTCTCGACGTCGCCTACAACACTATGAAGTTAAAATCACCTAGTTTCATTTAAAAATATAACGGCGACCTTCTTTTTTATCGAAAATCAATTTGTTTTTAAATTTAATCAATTGCAATTTCTGGTCGGTTAAATACTAATTAACTTCGATTGGAGACATTTTCTTGTCGGACCATCGAAAGGGGCTGAAAAATCGTTGGTGCTAATTTGTGACTCATCCTGTATATAAATGAAAAAAACGAGAGTTTTCGTACATCTGTTCTATTCCAAATAACAGCTCCAACGTTTACATAAAAACTTTAAAAGGTATGCGGACACTTTTGCTTCCCAATGTATATTCAGTCGATCGCGAATCCACTGCGAAACGAAGCCGTGAAAGTGGTCTCCTGTCGCGGAAAAACAGCCCGCGTTATTAGTTTGGAATTTTGAGAGCAGAATTCTCCGTGGTCTTTCGAGGAGTTCGATCGTAGAGAGTTATGCTGGCCGATTCGTGATGCTTTCAGCTCGCGAGCGGCCATCGATGCGGCAAATTGGCAGACAGATTACCGGCGAGCAGCGCAACTTTGGCCAGCGGGGTCCAGTTTGAATAGTCACTTTCGTTCACTCTCGTCGAGAATGAGTTACTTTGACTCGGGCTCGTCGAAACTTGGCCTTTTTATCAGGCGAAGTGGATCGGTTGCCTGTTGAACCGGCGCGCGGCGCTGGACGTACACAAAGTGTTCCCTGTTTGCCGCGAAACTTTCCTCGATGTTGCAACAAGCGCCGGCCCCGAGACCCGCACGATCCGCCTCGGGTGCGTTACAAGTGCACCTAGACGTTGCAACGCGAGCCGGCTGCAGACGGTCTGCACACTTTCTTTTCTCGAGGATCAGTCGATTGCTATGACTCTGCGCGAGTGGTACGGGAAACGGGAGCTCCTAGTCACCGGAGTGACCAGCGACGTCGGCAGAGCCTTGCTCGAGAAACTGTTGCGCAGCTTTCCCGACGCGATCGTCTACGTTGTGCTCAGATCGAGGCATGGATTCAGCAAGGACGACAGGATCAAGCAGATCTTCGTGTCGCCTCGGTAGGAACGCGCGCGCCTATTCGATCAGTGCTCCCGGCTTCCTCAAGAAAACAAACGGAAACATCGGTTCGCTCTGTTTGTCGCACGGTGGCTGCATGTTAATTTTCGTGGTCGGTTTATCGCGTCGCTTGTAACAATGGAGGCATTGATATTCGACGCGGTAGACAATCAGAAATCCATGGCCGAGTGCATGGAAAACTGGTGTGTTTGCCCGGTTAATTAATGCAAACGGCGGCCGTGTTTGTCATTCTCGACCGTAATCGGAAGGAAAACACGGTGCGCTGGCACACATATTAATTGGTCCATATTAGGCGCAATTATTTCCGTTTTCGTTGGTCTCTGCGTTAAAATGTCCGCGATCTGCTCCCGCATACGATTCCGGGGAAACGCAGCGATGCACCGACGCGACCGATGCAAGCTATTTTATCGAAACGCGAGAAAATACGAACGTGGCCGTCATCGAAACGTGAAGGTACGATTTCCTATAAGCGTCGGACGTGAACGGCTGAACGTGTGCGTTCGCCGCTTGCGATTGGTCGCAACGTTTGCTAGCGAATGATGTTTTCTATCGGCGTCGGACGCGTGCGGTCGGACGCGTGATTCGTATATGATTTACGTACGATGCATTTATTATTCGTTGCATCCCCGTCTGGCAGATAGAACAGCGTGCGTAGAGAAATAATTGTTCGAAATGGATCGAAATTTATTTGCACTTTCGCTATTGTTGAAGACAAAGATGATGAAGAAATTGTGTCGAGAATGTTGAGAAAAGAAAAAAGTCAGAATATTAAAGATATATGCAAACAGCGAGACGAAAACGGTTATTGTTAACGTTAAAGCTACCAAGCATTGAAAGCGATTCGCGCATGTTGTTTCTAAACGTAACAGAATTCAATTTATTTAGATGGTTAATCGATTTTATAACGATGCATGCACGAATCAGGAAATCTGTTCAATTATTTCCTATATAAGAATCTATGTAATGCCAATAATCTTAAAATAAAAAATGTGCAACCGATCAAAATGACCGTCACGGTGGACTTAGTATTAATAAGAAATTATATTTATTGAAGTTACTAATATTAATATTATATTAATATTATTATATATATATTAATATATTTTATTTTACTTCATTATTTCATTTTATTATATATATTAATATTATTACTAATATTAATAATTTTTATAAATTACATATAAATTATATTTACTGAACGAAGAGGAGACATATGGGCACCTTTTTATATTGAGTAAGGAACAAGCAAATTTGATCTTAACTCATATTTGCAATAATTCTTTGGACATTTTTATACGTAAACGTTGAGTCAGCCAGTTCGTTAGATCGAATAAAGAGCAAGTAAATTTTATCTTAACTCTTATTGGCAATATATAATAATTCTTTTGACATTTTTATACGTAAACGTTGAGACAGCCAGTTCGTTAGATTGAATAAAAAGCAAGTAAATTTTATCTTAACACTTATTTGCAATATAATTCTTTCGACATTTTTATACGTAAACGTTGAAATTAACCAGAACGCGTCCAGACTGCTTCGGAAGCAGACGATCGTCTGCACAAACGAACAAAAGCATTATTTTCCGTTGCATCGGTATAAATGCGTCCGACACATACGACGGACGCGTATAGGAAATTCCGCCTTAAGACAATTGCATGATTAGAAGCATTGTTTCCAGCGACGCGGCGCGACGACGACGACGACGACGACGGTTGTTTGCGGAGGTTTACGGCGGTTTGCGTGGTCTCGTTTGCGTATCCGCTGCGGTTCCAAAGTGTATACATTGCATTCTATCGTTGTAATCAGTCGTTGGCTGCGCGGCGCGGGCTAGATGCATATTCGTTAGATATTGCGGGCGACTTTAATCAGCCATTCGTTAGATGGCACGGCATTCCATTCTAATCATGGGTTCATTAGATGCGACGCGCGCAGATTAGCTTTTCATTAGTAATTCAGTGGCTGCCGGTGCATCGCGGCGTGGCATGCCGCGCCGCATCGGGATCCGAGTCGATTTATTTAGTCCGCTCGAATATGCAATCGAAAACGGATAAAATTAATCGTTCCCCGGGCGATGCGCGCGAAATTTACCGCAGCGGAGATAGAAACAATTCTAGGAATTGCGGCGTCAAATGTCAGAAACGTCGCAAAGTCGTCGTTGTCGTCGCTGCCGCCGCGATGACAAGCGGTCAACTGATCCGGAAATAAAGCGTCGGGCAAAATATTTCCTGAAAATTAATTGCCTTTCTTCCGTGCACGATATTCCCAGCGAATAGCTACACTTGCTACCTGCGAGGCAAATTATCTTGAGAACAATCACGACGAGTCAAACGCGAAATGGGAAACGACAACGGCCTTTTCATTCTGGTCTAGTCGTTGAAGATCTCATTGCTCCTGACACCACTTGAAGATGTTGGCGCGTTAAACTGAATGCAGTGCACAGTGGAGCCGGTTTACTCTTGGCGACCAATTGCCGCGCCTTTGATCTGTTTTCGGGCATAATTAACTGTATACTTGTCGAACGAAACGTATTCAATCTTTTTATTCTTTTATTCTGAATAAAACTATTTCGTCAAAATTGATCGAATAAGACGTATTCAATTGTTGCATTCTTTTATTTTAATCATTTTTTAACAGAAGAATTTAATAAAAAGTTATCGAATACGACGCAATCAATTTTATATTTATCGAGAAGGACATGTTAAATTCTTTCATTCAAAAAAGGGTAAAATAAAAGAATACAAATATTAGATATGTCTTATTCGATCAATTTTGATGAAATATTTTTATTCGAAAATAAACAAAATAAAAGAATAAAAAGATTTAATACGTTCCATTCGATAAGTATAAAGTCAATTATGCCCGAAAACAAATCAAAGACACAGCAATTGGTCACTCTATAGTAACCGGTTCTACTACTACGCTTTAGCTTCGTTGATTACGGCATTTCTAGTCAAGAATGTATACAGGATGTCCCAAAAATGTCTCGCAATGCGGAAATAGCGGGTTCCTCACATCATTTCAAGCAGCTTCTTCCTTTACAAAAATTTTCTCCGCGGCATCGTTTACGAGTTATTAACGAAAAACAGTGACCAATGAGAGGCTGTCTCTTATACACATCTAGCTGTTATCCCGCGCTGGTTAAACGCGCTTCTTTGCCTGTCTCTTATACACATCTAGCTGTTATCCCGCGCTGGTTAAACGCGCTTCTTTGCCTGTCTCTTATACACATCTAGCTGTTATCCCGCGCTGGTTAAACGCGCTTCTTTGCCTGTCTCTTATACACATCTAGCTGTTATCCCGCGCTGGTTAAACGCGCTTCTTTGCCTGTCTCTTATACACATCTAGCTGTTATCCCGCGCTGGTTAAACGCGCTTCTTTGCCTGTCTCTTATACACATCTAGCTGTTATCCCGCGCTGGTTAAACGCGCTTCTTTGCCTGTCTCTTATACACATCTAGCTGTTATCCCGCGCTGGTTAAACGCGCTTCTTTGCCTGTCTCTTATACACATCTAGCTGTTATCCCGCGCTGGTTAAACGCGCTTCTTTGCCTGTCTCTTATACACATCTAGCTGTTATCCCGCGCTGGTTAAACGCGCTTCTTTGCCTGTCTCTTATACACATCTAGCTGTTATCCCGCGCTGGTTAAACGCGCTTCTTTGCCTGTCTCTTATACACATCTAGCTGTTATCCCGCGCTGGTTAAACGCGCTTCTTTGCCTGTCTCTTATACACATCTAGCTGTTATCCCGCGCTGGTTAAACGCGCTTCTTTGCCTGTCTCTTATACACATCTAGCTGTTATCCCGCGCTGGTTAAACGCGCTTCTTTGCCTGTCTCTTATACACATCTAGCTGTTATCCCGCGCTGGTTAAACGCGCTTCTTTGCCTGTCTCTTATACACATCTAGATGTGTATAAGAGACAGCTCGTTAATGGTGCCTCGGAGAAAATTTTTGTAAAGGAAACAGTTGCTTCGAATGACCCGAGGAACCCGCCACTTTAGGATTGCGAGACATTTGTAGGACACTCTGTATGTATATTCTAAGCGCTCCGTCGGAGACAGGTCGGCGCGAAATCTGTTTTCTCATCGAGCGAAAGAATATCGCGGCCGGAACGCGTGCTTCTTCCGGTGCTTTGGTTCGCTAGCGTACACGCGGCGCACAGCGTACACGTATAAATTGGATTGCAACGTTACGTGATCGTCCACCGTAACGATGCCGGTTGCATCGTAAGACACGCGAGGCAAAACTCAACCGTGTCTACGAGGGGCCGAGTATTTTCACTGCCGGCGAAATTTATTTTCATTGGCACGCTTTCCTCGCCGACGTATTTTCGGCGCCCTCGTAAAACGCGTTCTTACCCTCGCAGCGTCTTACAAGCTGAAAACTGAAAGCCTCGAATTTCGCCGAAATTAGCGGCGCAACCGAGACATTCTCGAAGAAATCACCGCGAAAGCTTACGATACACAAAACGACTCTGTGCCAATCTGGAAGGCGAGTGGCAGTAAATAATTTGATTTGTTCCGAACACCCAGCTGTTATCCCGCGCTGGTTAAACGCGATTCTTTGCTATCTCTCTCTTTCTCTCTCTCTCTCTCTCTCTCTCTCTCTCACTCACTCACTCTGCACCGACAGGGTGAATCGGTCTGCAGATACCGTTGCATTCGAAGCCGATACTCGGCGAACACGTAGAAAATTTGCCGTTGCAACTATCGCAGTGAACGGTGCTCGCGTTTGGAACCATCCTTAGCGATGGGATAACAGAGTGGTGGAGAACGTAGTAACGCGATAACTGTAGTTACGGACGCGGAGGTCGACGCATCCTTAACCGCTCAGCTGTTCTCGACGAGCATAAATTTGCCGTTTCAATTGCCATTTTAGTGAAAACCAAAATATATTCGTAAACATATTCGAACGTCCGAAGACCGAAACGATAATAAAACAAAATTATTATTTACTTTGCGAGAATCATGACAAGAATTACTAACCCGACATTTTGGCAGTATCAGAGATCGCAAACGAAAAAATCAGAAACCAGAAACAAGCTTTATAATCCTCACCTATCATTTCCCCTCAGGATTCTCGGGCAGAGCGAGACCTCGCAAGACGATTTTGCGGTGGACCACAGCGGTCAGCCGAGAGTAGTCTCTAAAGGACAACGTTGGATCGAGAAATTGTACACGGTCGAATGGTTTCCGTTCGCAGATTCGAGAGGCTGCGGCAGACGGATCCGGGCGCGATCAACCGGGTGAAGCCGTTGGAGGGCAATCTGCAGTACGACGGGCTGGGCATGAGCAAGGAGGACAAGGATCAGCTGAGCAAGGTGAGCGTGGCGTTTCACGCGGCGGGTCCGCACGACGCGATGTTCGAGTACTGCCTGGAGCTGCCCAGGCTCGAGACGTTGGCCGCGGTGTCGAGCCTGTTCCGGCACAAGGGCCAGATCAACGAGACATTGCAGAACGAGCGGGTTCCCGACGGGCCGATCGCGCTGGTCCGGATGCCGCTGGTCGGCCCTGCTCTCCGCGAGCCCATGCCCGGCTTCGTCGACGTCTTCAAAGGGCCGACAGCCTTCATGGCGAGCGCGGGCCTCGCTCTCGGCGAGTCTGGCTTTCAAGCGGAAATCATTCCAATCGACCTGACGGTCAACACACTCATCGCCGTTGCTTGGGAACGAGCCACCGCGTAAGTACTCCATTTCCATCTCTCTCTCTCGGCATCTCTCCACCTCTTTTCCCGTCTTCTACACCTGTCCTCTTATCTATGTTCCTCTCCCTTCCGTACCTCGTCCTTTCTCGCTGCCCTACAACTTGACCGAAGCGATGTAGCGCGAGCGATTCAAGTTGCCATAAAAGAGACCAGTTAACAGTATTGTTCCGCGGTATGGTCTTCGTACTATACGGGGTGTAATGTAACTGATGGGATGGTCGGAGTAGGGGACCAAGGTCCCACTGTGCAATTACATGCAAAGATAAGTCGGAAAGGAGGAATAACATATTTTCGTTTAAGGCTTTCAAGAAACAAGAGTTCCAGAGAATTAACTGTGACCAGTTTCATTGTTCCGATAGAATTTTTATTGTGGTAAATGAATTACAGTGGGCCCTAGACTTTCGCACACAATTCGTTCCTGAAAGCGTGTGCGAATGATGAATGTTAGAAAGTAGAGAGATGTAAAAAGATATGCACCGAAAAACTGTGTTTTAAAGTATTTATTTATTTATTTAGCTTTCGGGTGTCTTCTTTATAAGCTTGTCAAGAGTTAGTTGAGTAGCTCCTTTTTTCTCTTTTCGTGATAAACATTTCTATAACACGCAGTGTCTTTTTGAATTGCCCTACGTACTCGAGATATACGTTCTCCATTGGGATCTCATTCTTCCATAATAGTTAAAAATTTGTCTAGACGCATAAAGGCTTCGTTCATATTTTTAATTGTCGAAGTCTTGACCTCTCGATCGGAACAATATTGTAATCCGATCGCTAAAGTCTGATGTCCCCTGAGAGGGGGCATCCAATTACAGTAATGTCTCCCTAACTGACGCTCAGATTGTGTGTCCAAAAATGGACAATTTGGGAAAAGGAGATACGATTAATTTGAGCGTTGCGCCTTGTTTTTACAATTACCGATTCTCAACAACCATAAAAACGAGGCGCAAGACTCGAATAATCCGATCTCTTCTTCCCAAATTGTCCATTTTTCTGCACAATCTGAGCGTCAGTTAGGGAGACATTACTGTACAATGTGGCCTGCTCGACTCACGATGTCCGCTCACGAACCGCTCATTCGACCGCAAAGGCTTGCAAAGTTGAATTTTTAAAAATGTGCGAAATAGCGAATTGTGCGAAAGTAGAATGTGCGAAAGTCGAGGACCGCCTGTATTAGAAAAGGCCGCGACGTTAACCAACATTTGATTAACCCCCGGATGGTGGACCAATTTTCACGAATACAGTGATTTCTCCCTAATTCGCGCTCAGATTGCGCCTAAAAAACCGCGTAACGTTTGGAAAACGGTTCGAAGTCTTTCAAAGCAATCGTCGGTTCTGCTTTCTTTTTCTTCGAATGAAAGTACAGTAAATTCTCTTTAATTTGCGCTCAGATTGCGCACAAAAATGGACAATTCAGGAGAAGAAGAGATACGATTATTCGAGCCTTGCGTCTCGCCTGTATACGGGATCACTGAACTTTTCTTTTGTACATCCGAAATTTAAACGTAATGCTTTCCAATTACTATGATGCTTTTGTATAAGTTCTAAATAATTTTTGTATAAAGTACAGTTTCTGTATAATCTGTAATTTCTGTATGATCTATCATTTTTCCAAAATTGTACAATTTTTGATGCTTCTGTTAAAATATTAAAATGTTGGTAAAACCAAAGGATCTGGAACACGCGCATGTAAACAAATTCTGGTTTCTCGATAAAAATGTAATTATCGTTGGCACGTGAGTACGATTTCGAATTTCTCGACGCATCGACGAACGGAGAAAGCGAACGAAGGCGAGGCAGCGGAGAAGAATTACTGCGAGTTCGCGCCTCAATTTCTCTCTCTCTCTCTCTCTCTCTCTCTCTCTGTGTGTCTCTAGTCTCTAGTCTCTCTTAGTAAACATCGTAATAAATCGGCGCGAGGGAAAGTCATGCAGCAACAGCGTGCCGCGGATTAGAAAAGAGAATTACGTAAAGCGGACGGTGCCGCGGCGGGGTCGTAAGGATCGGCACAAGCCAAATAAACGGCCGATTCGAACGCGACGTAAAACGATTAAGAGGACGCGGTTAGATCGCGCGCGAGCTTTTATGCGAACGGCCGTGGAACGGCGCGAGCACAGTTTACGGTAAACGAACGCGGTTTCGTTTCACGAGAGCATTCAAATTTCTTTTGAGCGCCGCCGTAGAAAAACGTAACAGTTTCAGCGCACGTTTCGAGCATTCAGCTGGGCCGCGGGGGACGGGCGGACGCGTTATAAGGCGGTTTGCCGGTTTACCGGTTTGAATTCGCGAGAATATCGTTACGGCAACAGTCGATTCAGAGTTGCACGCAGCTCCGCAGTTCCCCGTTGCGTCTTAATATTCCCTCCGAAATTGCGGGGAACGATCTTCCGCCGGAACGAATCCTGTCCGAGCCGCGGCTTTGAACGCGGACATTTTTTAATCAAACGTTTCCTTCAGCCCCGGCAAGAAGTTCGCTGCGTTTAAATGCTTGCCGGTTAATAAGATGACGCGGAGAACGAAATTTCATCGGGGAAACGATTTATTTCCTTGGGAAAACGGACCGTTCGCCATTGGGAATTATAATGAAAATGTAGATAGCAGGTTCGCTACTTCGCTGCGAAAGAGCTTCTGCTTAACATCCGCCGATCGAGGGATCCTCGGATCGACGCGGCGCGGAATAAAATCGAGGCTCGCGCGCTAAGTTGAATATCGGGCGGATAGGAAAAAGTGTGTCAATTACTCTGGCCATTAAAGCGACGCCCGAAGTTTTCGACAAGTTAAACAGCTTCTTTTACCTACGTCGAACTTCTTAGGTCATTTCAATTATACGCTGACGGCTTTTATGCAAGTACGGGTCTTTTCGTAATTGAAATATGTAAAGAACTGTTTACCTAAACTGTCCGCTTAACTTGCCGATTCGCTGATTCTGTGTCGGTCGAAACGCGATGCGGTTTTGTTCTGATGTTTTTAAACATTGGCATTTACGCATATTTATGCGTATAAATAGATTGAAGTTAAATTAGATTAACGGACGCAAAATATGTATGCCAGGAAAACTGAATCCAGTTGCAGTAACAGATACAAGACGTAAACTGATTTCAGTTACTCGATCACTATAAATAAAGAAATGTGTCTAAGAAATTGATTATATATAGAAAAATATATAATCTGAACGTATACATATATAATTCTGAATATATATAGAAAAATAACACAAGCTTTACGAATGTAACAGTTCACTTTTTGTTTCGGAAAGCACCGTTTCCGTATTTTACCATCTTTATTTGCAACATGTTTCTTTTATCAATCTCAAGACAAAAAGACGCATCAAACCGTTATCAGAACTATAAAAAATTAGTTGCCGCATTTTATAGGTTTTAAGAAGTTAAAGCTTTGATTCGGTTATGAAAATTACGGATCACATTGAAAACGTCGAATATATTTAATTGTTTTTAAATATAAATAAAATTACTGTAAGGCACTAGTTCACTAAATTTAGGGGACTCGGTTGAGTAATATCGGAGCTGTTTTTTTGCAGGAAGGACATGCAAGGGCCAGTGGTATATAATGCAGTCTCGATAGGATGCACGTGGAACGAGCTGACTAAGAAAGGTAGCCGGGGCAACCGGAAGTTTACATACCCGACATTCGGGTTCCGTGGCATGACGTCCTCGCCGATCTTGCACTGGATTCTGGTGGTGCTGTTTGAATGGCTGCCGTCCCTGCTTAGCGACACGATTCTCGGCCTCTGCGGAGCCAAGAAAAGGTATAACGAACTGGAAATTTACGATACCCGAGACTTCTCCCCGAGTCGCCGATTCGAAAGGATTCTGTTGACACACGCGAGCACACGCGAGAACGCTTCGAAGGGAATGCCACGGAGAGGTTGAACGATCACCGAATTTCAAAAACGAGATAAGTCGTGCGCGCTCTTCTTTTAGGTGTTCCTTCTATTTCTGGAACTTCTGGAACTTTTAGAACTTCTGGAACTTCTGGAACTTCTAGAACTTTTGGAACTTCTGGAACTTTTGGAATTTCTGGCACTTCTAGAACTTCTGAAACTTTTGGAACTTTTGGACTTTCTGAAAATTCTGGAACTTCTGGAATTTCTAGAACTTTTGGAACTTCTGGAACTTTTGGAATTTCTGGCACTTCTAGAACTTCTGAAACTTTTGGAACTTTTGGACTTTCTGAAAATTCTGGAACTTCTGGAATTTCTAGAACTTTTGGAACTTCTGGAACTTTTGGAATTTCTGGCACTTCTAGAACTTCCGAAACTTTTGGAACTTTTGGACTTTCTGAAAATTCTGAAAATTCTGGAACTTCTGGAACTTCTAGAACTTTTGGAACTTCTGGAACTTTTGGAATTTCTGGCACTTCTAGAACTTCTGAAACTTTTGGAACTTTTGGACTTTCTGAAAATTCTGGAACTTCTGAAACTTTTGGAACTTCTGGACTTTCTGGACTTTCTGGAACTTCTAGAACTTCTGGAACTTCTGGACCTCCTGGAACTTCTGGAATACCGTCTTCTTCGAAATCGCGATCGACGCCAAGGCTGATTTATGATCTTCCAATCCCTTTCTGCCGTCGTCTAGAAACGTTATTCGCTTCTAAATCAGAAGAAAATTTGATTATTCCGGTTATCAAAATCCAGGAAGAAACGAGAGAAGAAATAAAAGTTGTCTCGATCCATTAGGAAAATTATTGAAAACGAAGATTTGCCAAAAAGAATCAAAGTAGCAAAAATAACTGAGTTCACTCGAAACGTTGTTCTTCAAACACAGTCAGTGTTTGACTGTCAAATTCGAGGAAAGCCAATCCCGAGGACCAGATATTTTTCTTGTTATATAAAATCGAATCCTTAATTGATTCTTAATCCTTGATGTCGAAGGGACTACCTATCAATAACGACGACTTTCTAGCGATATGGATTTGTCTTCAAGTCACCATTAATGTTACTGAGTCAATTTTCCATGAAATCACTACTATTCTGGAATTTTTGGAACTTCTGGACCTTCTGGAGCTTCTGGACTTTCTGGAATTTCTGGAACTTCTGGAACTTCTGTACTCAGAAGAGAAATCAAATTTTCGTTAACAATTTTAATTCCCTTAGCCAGTTAGCTGTTGCGGCCATTTTGAAATCTGTGTACCTCGAACGTGACGCAAAATATTTTTGTATTTGTTCGTTTTATTTCGTCTCGGCCTCCAAATATTCAAAATATCTAAAAATTTATGAATACATTATAATTTATTTTTATTTGGCACGAAGCCCAGTTCCGCTCATTGGCTCGGCCGTCTCGCGCCATCTGAGCTCGCCTCTTATTGGTCACTGTTTTTCGTTAATAACTCTTAAACAAAGCCGCGGATTCCATTTTCGTTAAGGAAAAAGTTACTTCAAATGACCTCAGGAATCCCTCGTTTCTGAACTGCAAGACATTTTTGGAACATCCTGTATATTAAGCCTACATCTACTGTGCCGGAGTCACAGCAAAAGTGGGGAGCACAGCGATTATGTGTCACTCGAATATCAGGGTGAGTTAGAAACGACTCTCTAACACAGGAGGCCGCGCTTCAGTAGTCGAAGGGTTAATAGGTCACTCCCGTAGAAGAATTAAATAAATAAATATCAGTAGACTGACTAAGAACAGCTAACTGGTTAAATGCATAGAGATCTATTGTCTACTAATCGACAATCCGAAAGAGATTTTCGGGAAGTTTGCAAGGACGTTCGGGAAGTAGTTCTCGGGCGCATAAAATCGGTAAACTAGAAGCATCGAGGAAGATTTTCGAAAAAGTTTCATTCGCTGTGCTCGTTGGAGGGGTGCAAGGGATGCACTCGGCAAACGGGAGCGAGAACGGGATAGAGACGCGGTACGCTTGCCAGATGCGGTGCGACCGAATCGTAAAAAAGTAAAAGTTATCTCGAACTACGATTTAGCCGAATACCAAAGTAAACAGGTTCTCCGCGGTATCCGTTCTCCGGCTAAACTGCTAGACAGTCGCAGTAAGAGGGAGAGTGGCACGGTAGGGAGGCAAAAAGACAAACAATCGAAAGGAAACTCGTTTCCTCCTCCTCTTCCTCCTCCTCCGCCTCCTCCTACCGGAGAACTTGCGGATTCGTTCTCTGATTGCTTTTAAAAATCGCGAGTTCGGTTCACCGGCTGCCGAAACTTCTGCCGAAAAATCTTGACAGTTTCCTCATTGAAGTACGACTCGTTGCCGCGCAACACGCCGGCTGGACAGAAAACTGGACGAGACGATTTTAACTCAAACTTCGCTCCGATTTGCCGACGGACTTCGCCTAGAGCTTCGGCGTTCAAACTTTGCGGTGGCCTGCGGCTTAGGAACCAGAATTTCGAGTTATTCGAGAATTATTTCGAATTAATATTTATCTAAGATAATTACCCGAATGAATCCTTTTCGGTCGAGTATTTCGTTGGAATCACGATTATTCATTATTCTCATAAATTATTCTGTCTATTTGTTCGCAGAATTCTTTATTCGGATGAATTGTTCCCGTGATTCTTTGTTCGAACAAATTATTCGCAGAATTCTTCGAGATTATTCGAACGGAGATTGTAAAATTATTCGAATAACAATGCGAGTAATTGTTCTTTTGCTTTTACGTGATTTGATAAGAACACATTTATACGACTACGTTCAAATTAGTTCAATATCAACTGCTTATAGAATTATAAAAGTGCTTTACTTATAGAATTATGAAATTGAATGTGGAAGAAATAAATCGATGAATCACATGACGAAAACATTTCATATTCCATAATTTTCATAAAAATCGAATAAATTCTTATTTTTTCGCCTGAGATCTTATTCCGATGAAATTTTTATCTAATTAAAGTTTGATTCGATGCGATATTGTTTCGATAGTGTCGGATCGAATTTTCGCCAACCCCGCTCGGAATTAGAGTAAACGGATTATGCAAACAACGGTAACACGCAAATGCGCGAATACAATCCGATGCTGCGGTTTTCATATTTGTCAAGTTTTAGAAAATCAGAAATCGAGGCCGGATCATTGAAACTCGAGAAGCAACGATTGCGAATCGATGATTAAACCGCAAGAGGTGAAACTTGAAACTTCAAACACGAAATCGAAGCTCGAAATTCACGAGGTTTAAATCGGGGCTTCATTGAAACCTGGAAAAAGATATGAATGTAGCGAAATCGGAAATTACCAGCGTCCGTATCGATTTCAATGCGGTTTGGCTATTTGTTGCATCGCGGCAGGGTGTATCGGCCGAGACAAGTTGCGTTGCTTGCTATCAATGCATTCGCGTGCAATTATATTAATCGATTATGCGGGCAAACGATATTCATTATTAATTGGCCACCGGAACAGTTACGTGTCGCGCGATACTGGCATCGGTATTGAAACTTTTTACGGTGCTGATCAAACGAATCGATAACAGTGATTCCCATCTTTCACACTTTGAACCTCCACTCCTCCCACCAAATTCAAGAGGAAGCGCTGGACGAGTTTAAGAGAGCTAACAAAATTTAATCAACAATCTCGTTGCATTTCGCGCGAAAGTTCATTTGTCGGGAACACGACGTAAGAAGGACAGGTGGACAGCTTGTTTTATCAAAAATTAGAATGCCTTGTGAAACAACTATCGATCTAATTCGTCAACATTGCCGCCATTGGAAATTTATATATTTTAACACGTTCGCTAGCAGCGTCGCACATTTGTGAATGAATTATTGAAAATTGTAACACATAGCATAATATTTGGAGAATTTATAGCTTCCCTTTTATCATATTTTATAAGAGATTTACTTAATACGATGAACACAATAAATATAAATATGCATGCTAGTAACACTGTTAGCGAAAACGTAAACCGAAAATATTACTATTATTAACACTATACTTACCGCGGTCAAAGTGACCGCTATCTTATTTTGCAATTCTGCAAAGTTCCGAGACTCTTTCGTGGAAAACGCTTGAATAAGTTATATTATTGGAGCAAGTTTTATAATAAAAACATTACAAATTCTAAATAAATTCGGTCTTCTCACTTTTGTGAAGCAGTTCATGCTAGTTAGTATTACTGCTTGGTAGGTTTAGTGTTAAAGTATTAACTAAAATGTGTCTTAAATTTTGTCCGCGGAGTGTACCACGTTTAACAAATAAAATCATCGTCGGTGAGTGACGACGCATCGCTAGCACCGCCCGCGGGAATTCGTGGAAGTAAACGTTTAGCGTCACAGAAATTTTGTGGTGGGGTAACTGTAGCTGGTCCACCTTCTCTTCTTGCACCGTGATTGGGAGACGCTATAAGGCTCGCATAACACTTACAGTATAAGCACTCGAAATGTCGATCGAAACAGTTGGTTGGATATTTCACTGCGCCTTGAAATTCTCGTCTCGCGAGATGAATGGGATCGGAGGGATTTACGCATTTATGGTCGCGTCGGCGGGGTAAAAAGGGTGANACGCTTGAATAAGTTATATTATTGGAGCAAGTTTTATAATAAAAACATTACAAATTCTAAATAAATTCGGTCTTCTCACTTTTGTGAAGCAGTTCATGCTAGTTAGTATTACTGCTTGGTAGGTTTAGTGTTAAAGTATTAACTAAAATGTGTCTTAAATTTTGTCCGCGGAGTGTACCACGTTTAACAAATAAAATCATCGTCGGTGAGTGACGACGCATCGCTAGCACCGCCCGCGGGAATTCGTGGAAGTAAACGTTTAGCGTCACAGAAATTTTGTGGTGGGGTAACTGTAGCTGGTCCACCTTCTCTTCTTGCACCGTGATTGGGAGACGCTATAAGGCTCGCATAACACTTACAGTATAAGCACTCGAAATGTCGATCGAAACAGTTGGTTGGATATTTCACTGCGCCTTGAAATTCTCGTCTCGCGAGATGAATGGGATCGGAGGGATTTACGCATTTATGGTCGCGTCGGCGGGGTAAAAAGGGTGACGCGCGACGGGCGAATCGCGACGGAAGGGAATAAATAGATGCGGATCGGGGAGTAGGGTGCAACAAGGTGGTGACAGGCGACAGGACAGGAGCGTGGGCGGGCGAAAGATCAGACGTCCCGAGGTAAAAACCTTTGGTTTCTCCGCAGGCTTCTACGTGAACACGAGAGAGTTCGTAATGCACTTCGATCCCTTGAGTCAATTTCGTCGAGGCCGTGGTCAGCAGAGAGGAATCGTGTGTACCTGCTGCAGCAACGTCTCGTCGAAGAAGACCAAGATGCATTTCCGGTTGCCACGGAAATCGACATAGAGAGTTACGTTCTCTGCACCGCCGCCGCCGCGAAGAAGCATTGCGTCGACGAAACCAATGTCTGGCTCGTAAAAATCTTTCGACTACTTTTCCTGCTCGTGGCCGCGGCGGTCCTCTTCTCTTCGCTCTTCTTCTGCTATAGACACCACTCGCCCAACGGGGACCACATAGTCGGACTGTGACTGTGAATAATTTTCGGGCACTGGGGACACCGCGGGACGTCGCATTTTCCGCAACGTAGGAACTCATAGAAAATCATAACCCCCCTCCCTCCCCGATAATACGATCCTACTCGTGATCTCTTACTTTCATCGATCCATTCGTCTTCTTAATCCACCGATTATGCGCGTCTTTCGGCAAAGTCGATGTTACGTCGAGTTGAGGTAGTACAGAGTTGGGCAGAAATGAATCTGATTGATGATTAACGGATCGTGACTGACGTGAAATTATGTTCGTTAGTAATGACTATGATTACTATGTAATCAAGTAATCATGATTAATGAATAACTTGAGTAATCAAGTAATCATGATTAATGAATAACTTGAGTAATCAAGTGGTCGTGATCAAAGGATAACTTGAGTAATCAAGTGGTCGTGATCAAAGGATAACTTTACTAATCAGGTAATTATGATAATTAATATACTAATCATGATTAACGAGTAACTGAAGTAAACAAGTAATCATGATTAATGAGTAACTTAAGTAATCAAGTAATCATGATTAATGCATAACTTAAGTAATCAAGTGATCATGATTAAAGGATAACTTAAATAGACAAGCAGTTATGATTAACGAACAACTTAATTAATCTACTAATCATGATTAATGAGTAACTGAAGCAATCAGGTAATCATGATTAATGAGTAACTGAAGCAATCAAGTAATCATGATTAATGAGTAACTGAAGCAATCAGGTAATCATGATTAATGAGTAACTGAAGCAATCAAGTAATCATGATTAATGTGTAACTTAAGTAATCAAGTGATCATGATGAATAACTTAACCCTTTCATGGGCACAATATGATTTTTCAAGAATATTCTAATTCAATAAGAATTTTGAACGGTGGGAATATTTGAGCCTGGTGATCTGGAAGCGTAGTTTCCAGTGCCTATGAAAGGGTTAAGTAATCGAAGCAAATGTAATCGTACGTCACGATCGACATAGTAATCATTAATCGCGTCGTGATTACATTTTCTGATTATGATTAAGTGAAGAATATGGTATTATTTCAGTTAATAACAATCCTGAATAGCTTTTAGAATATGATAATCGATTATTGTCCAACTCCGAGGAAGTAATTACGCGAGCAGAACGTTTATATTGGACATTTTATACGCTTTTTATTATCATAAGGAATGCCTCTCGCTTCAATTATTGCTCATTTGTTTCAGACGTTGTAAAATGCTTTTAATAGAAAATCATTTAAAAACCAACAATTTGTTGTTGTCTCTTAGTAAAATCCCATTCATTACAGCACATGCCTAGTGCAGCATAAATATGCTAGGAGTGCGGAGGCTCGACTCGTCCGTGTTTTGGAGGCTTCGGAAGGAGAAAGTCGAGTTAGGAGCGACAGAAGAGGGCACGCTCTAAGTGGAGGCACGTCAAGATTGCGCAACAGTTATCTTCGGGCTGCTGAAGCATGCGAACCAACCAGGTAGAAGCGAGAACGATGGGGTCGCGATCTTGAGTGGCCAATATTTCCTGCAGTGTCGTAAATGTCTTGCATGAAATGTGTGCATCGGTGCTTCAAACGTTTTCATATGTCATTTGCAACGTCGACCATGCCGTATTCTCGAATAATCGATAAGATAGCTCGTAAAAGACGGTTAATACGTATTCGATACGTTACAGACCCTCTGCCGCGACGATTTCATAATTAATCACGACGAAATGACAACATTTTGTGTTGCAACGAGCGTACTCGTCAAAAACAGCTAACTGGTTAATACCAAACTAACTGGTTAAACTAAACTTCAAATTGTTTCTTTCTTCGGAAAGGATTGAATCAATTTTTTAATTATGTAATAAATAATAATAATTTTTTTATTTTATAACAAAATTGGCGGAAGGTTTAAATATAAATATAAAGCAACATACGTTAGTTATTTTTAGTTATTTTAGTTATTTTAGTTATTTTAGTTATTTTAGTTATTTTAGTTATTTTAGTTATTTTATTCTAATATTCTTTATTAAATTATATACATTTTTAAAAGTGTTGTATTTATACAAAATACGAAGAAAATCAGACGTGTACATTATAATTACTAGACTGCAGATTTTATGTTCTTATCGGGAAAATGCACAAGCGAAAGATAAAAGAGTTAAAATTAAAATGAAAAATGTTGATACATTAATTAGAACTTAGTAAATTGATTTAAGAAAGAAACGAGATTGCACTTGGGGCTCCGGCGTCTTGCAATCGACGCAGGCAAATTTTATTTTGCATAAGGATCCGCGTAAATTAGCATAATTAGAGTAATTTACATACTTTTTAAAGAGATTGCGACGGCTGACTCGTTGAAANTTTTTATTTTATAACAAAATTGGCGGAAGGTTTAAATATAAATATAAAGCAACATACGTTAGTTATTTTTAGTTATTTTAGTTATTTTAGTTATTTTAGTTATTTTAGTTATTTTAGTTATTTTATTCTAATATTCTTTATTAAATTATATACATTTTTAAAAGTGTTGTATTTATACAAAATACGAAGAAAATCAGACGTGTACATTATAATTACTAGACTGCAGATTTTATGTTCTTATCGGGAAAATGCACAAGCGAAAGATAAAAGAGTTAAAATTAAAATGAAAAATGTTGATACATTAATTAGAACTTAGTAAATTGATTTAAGAAAGAAACGAGATTGCACTTGGGGCTCCGGCGTCTTGCAATCGACGCAGGCAAATTTTATTTTGCATAAGGATCCGCGTAAATTAGCATAATTAGAGTAATTTACATACTTTTTAAAGAGATTGCGACGGCTGACTCGTTGAAAGAAGAAGAACTACCGCGGACGACGCTCTGAAACTTCATCGATGAAACTGATTTTAGAAAATACCTTAAAAATGACGGCCTTCCCTGTCCGTCAGCCTATTTTCTCCCCTTAGGGGCACGCCGCGCTCGAATCTCCTTTTTAACATGCATAATTGATGGAGAGGGGAAAGGAAACGCCGATGGAAAACCTCTCCTCCGATTATTCGCCGAGCAGTTCGAGAAATACCGTTGACCCGTTCGCCGAGGGCAGCATTCAAATTAACTCGTTCGGTCCTCCCCCGCGTCCTCGCCCCGCTCGGCGTTATTATACGGCTACGTTCGTACCGCGAACGTGGGGCAGAGGGGGGACGGGAGGGTGAAAGGGCAGAAAGTACAAAGATCGGACTTCCGTCCGTAAATGATGTCTTCTTTCTACGAGAGCAGAACTTCCTTCGAGGGAAATTACTTGGCGTTTTAGCGAGTTAAGTCGCGTCCGGAGAGAGCTTTTTTTATCGCGTTCGAGCGCGAAACCTTCGTTCCGCTGGAACCTCGAACCTGGAACGACGCTCTCCGAATCCGAGCGGATCCGTTCGGTTTTATCGACCACGCGTAGACAAGAGCGTCGTTCGACTTTCCCGAGGTTTTAGCCCCGCGAAAATAGTTGCACGGAAAATCCTGGGATAACACTTTTCTCTTGAAACGAGCGAATTATGTTCCCCGGCACAGAGCAGGACCCTCGATGCTTTTCCCGGCTTGGCATCCGCCGAGACACCGCGCGACGCGACGTCTCGAAACGCCGGAATTGCGTTATTAAGGACCTCGGCGTAACGAGCGGACGCGAATGTTTACGGGGAACGTAAAATCGCGAAAGAATCCCCGGCCGCGTTCCACGACGGCAGGCGAATTTCTTTTCTCGATGCTCATAGAAGCAGGGGCCAGTTTTAATTTCAAGTGTCCATCCGTGTCGGCGTTAGTTGCCGGCCCAGTTTAATCTCCGTTTACGACGACGACGACGACGACGTCCGTTCCCACATCGGCTGCGAATGTTATTCATCGTTTTTATTCCCCGTCTCGTCCGCGAGGTCGAATTCATTCGGCCGTCCGTGTTTTCTCCGGCGCGGCACACCGGAGAGTTAACCAATAAAGCAGGCCACCCGATACGCTCGTAAAACTCGAGCCCGTGAACGTAAATTGCCCTCGTAAGTCTTGCTGCTGCCACAGGACAGCGACCGGAGACGCGCGTTTTACGCCGAAAACTCCGGCTATTACAGTTAAAAATATTTCGGAGCGCCACGCGCACCGATTCGATCATCGATAGACTCGGTAAATCCGACCAAACCGCGGCCGTCCGGGAAGCGGCAATTTCTATGTGGGCAAAAGTCAATTTTCCAATTTTTATATTCGACACAATTTGGTTTTCTTTTTATTTCGAAACGGGAAACCATCGGTATTTTCATGAGCCGGTATATAACGTTACAAGGAGGAAATCTTCAAATCGAAACTAAAATTAATTAGTTTTATTATTCCCTGCGGAAAATCAAATGCGACATGTGTGTAATACATTTTTCTACGCGTCTCTACCAATTGCATTTCAGTTGTTTATGTATTTTACAAGAATTATTTAACTCGGGAAGAGAAAATGATACATTTCTATCAATTTGAACTTTGAGAAAGCTTGGAGAAAATTGATCAAAAGTGACAGACGTCGGACTTCGTTCGTATGAAAGTTTGCAGTATCGTTAACGTGTACACGTAACTTTTAAGCGATGTTGCATTCTATGCAATTTTGCATTGTACGTTTATTTTAACAATCGGACGTTCGCAATACTAGACCGTTCTGCGACCGACCCCATGCGAACTGCGGCTGGACTCAAACTTTTAACGATTTTTCAAACATTTCAGATGATCTCGAAACAAAATGTTTCCAACGAAAGTTCGTCAGTATTCATTTTTCTACAAATGCTAACGTTCCGTTTCAGAAACGAGATTCTTGTTACAAATAATCGAAGGGGCAGCGTAGAACGATGGTTAGGCGAACAGTCGGCGTCGCAACCATAAATTTTATCGTTAAAAGATATTAATAAATGTACATCGAGTTTAATATTATCTATGGTTTTATCAAATTTAATCATGTATTGCCAAGAATTGGACTAGATTCCAAGTTTCCGTGCATTTCGTTAAACACACGTTATTGCCAGAATTGTTGCGTGAGAAATTTCACGATAATAATGTGTGTTAAACGTTGTAGTATCTACAAAGATACTTAATAGTTTCGTACAATGATTAATAATTATATATTTAATAATATTTAATAACTGATTTTGTATACGTTACTTCAAGAAACCTTAAACCTCATTTTAGCCTAAAAACTTTATTATAACTCAACAAAAACTGAACCTAAATTTTTTTAATATGATTCTACATTTCAATAATTTATACTAATATTTTATTTTGCATTTATTTATCAACATTCTTGAGACTTTAAAAACAAACACTGAAAAGCACTGCTCTGATTTTTGTACGTTACCTCAAGGAACCTTGAACATTATTACAGCCTAACAAAGAATGTCTTGAATTTTTTAACATAACTGTATATTTTTTGCACTAATCGGTGCACCCATGTATTCCTTTCGAAGAAGTATTAGGATACTTCTAAAGAGTTATGGGTTTTGTCCCGAACGCCCAAAAGGACCGTGCACTGGGAGTCGCATAAACGCGTTTGACGAATACGCTAGTATTCGCAGCATCGAATGTGCAAATATGGCAGGAACCATGCGAAGTGGGTAGCAAATATTCGTGCGAATCGTGCAAGGCGCCTATACAGAAGAGAATGGTGTTCTGGTGAAAGTTTCTCGAAGAGCATCTACTTGCCTTGGCGGAGCGCGAGGCAAGGAACACATATCTCTCGCATGTTTCCCGTTTACGTAACGCGGCTGCACCGAGCCGGGCTTATCGAGCTCGCCGATCCACCGATCCACCGAGGGCGAGCAAAAATACTAAACGAACCGTCCCGCTTTTCGCTGCGCGTCGTAACTTCGTAAACGACTGCAGGCCCTTGTGACGGAAATATCGACGGCTCCGCGAAATCTCTCCAAATTTCCGGCGGGAAAGTTCGCCGTCTAACGAGATTAACCTTTCCAGCGGCGGCCTCGCGGAGCTACGTCGAATCGGTGCGGAATCGGCCGTTAATAATTAGATTCGTCGCTGAAAAGACTCGTCGTCGAACGCGCGCGTCGAGAATTATTCGAGCGAATCGCGTGGCTCGGGCAAAATTCCGCGTGCAGCCAGAACGCGTGTAGCTTTTAGTTGTAGAGCGATCGCGATAAAGGCACGCGTGTTTTTAAGTAGGCCCGCGCAGAATGAAACGATTATGAAACTCGGAAAAGTGATAAGAAGCGGTTAATCTGTTATGCTAATCGTCGAGCGGCCACCGTCCGAGGAGGTAAAAGTAGCCTTCGCAATTTACATCGCAAATTTGAAAATCTGGCCGCCCCGCTGCCGCGGAAACATTGTACGTCGGACGCGAGCCGTTTAACGCGAGCGCGGCGTAAACTTTTCGCTGTGAATGCAAGAGGAATGGAAGAGTTAATAATAAGATTAATCGCTAATGGATCCTCGCGCGGCGAGGTCCTCGAGCAGCAATCGAATCGGAGAGTTTCTCCTTAAATAATAACGCGACGAGTGAACGGCACGCATTAATCGTGGGAGACGACAGTCGTTAATATTCTCGTCACGGTAACGAAGAAGCAATAACTCGCGCCGTTTCGCCCTGGCCCCGTTTTCCCCATCGGAAAGTTGGTTCGCGTGACTACGCGGGCTCGAGCACACGGCGCGGCGGCAGCCGCGGATCCAAGTTATGCTTTTAAAATCCTGTTACGGGTTGCGCGAGCGCGGAATTTAACAAAGAAACTTACGGATTAGTTCCGCGAGATATAATTGGTGGTGGTGGCTGGAACTGTG